GGTGTGCGACTGCAGGTTCTTAGTGTATGTGACTTTACTAAATAATGCCAAACTGTTTCCCAAAGTGCTTGTGTCAATGTATTGTCCCATCTGCAATAAGGTCACCTCTTTGGGCCTCAGTTTCCCTTGTAAGATAATGGGGTTAATTAGGTGATTTCTGAGGTCTCTTGGTTCTGACATTCTCTGAATCTGTGATCAAGGAGCCCTGAATAAGCAGCACAGGGGGCTGAGCATCCTTAACAGAAAGTTACAAAAGAGAGAGGTGAACACAAACTGTGTTTTGGGATGCAGCTTGCAAACATCTTTGGGTAAGGTACAGTCCTAAAGTTGAAGATTGGTGTCAGGGTAAGGACTTTGGAATCTGGTAACACTTATTTATCCACCATCTCTGCTCCTCCCTGCCCTTGGGAGAACTTCCAAACACAGAACTCGGCAAAGAGAGACAAGAGGCAAAAAACAATAACCATTCAGAGATAAAGTTAAACCTGTCATACAAAAGTCAACGGTAAGCAATTTGTGTGGGGGAGGAGCAGGGCAAGTTCTGTCCGGACAGGAAGTTGTCAGCTCGCCTCCTCTGGGAAGCCTTCCTAAAAAAAGAGGGACAGGCACGCACCTGGTGGAAAGGAGGCCAAAAAAACCAAACCAAACCCATTGCCGTTGAGTCGATTCCGACTCATAGTGACCCTACAAGACAGAGTAGAACTGTCCCATAGGGTTTCCAAAGCTTTAATCTTTATGGAAGCAGACTGCCATATCTTTCTCCCATGCCTTTTGGTTACCAGGTGAGCACTCAACCACTGCGTCAGCAGGGACCCTTGGAAAGGAGGCAGAAGCTGTATTTAAGAGAGGGTGAGAGTAGAATGGGAGGTGACTCTGGGAAGGGGCTGCTGGGAGCTGGTTAGCCTGGCTGGAGAATCTTTATTCCCTGAGCTCAGCAGCTGCCTCCCTAGAGGCATTACTGTTGCTCAGGGAGCAAAAAACGGGCCAGCCTTCCTGCATTCCGTTGGGGCAGGCAGCCTCTGTAGGCTGGAGAGAGGGAGGGGCTTTGGCCACAGCTCTCTAGGGAGCCTCCACAGGACACTCGGGTCCTTGGCTCCAATCAGAGGCTGACAGCATTGGGCAAAATTGAGCGGTACAGGAGTTAGAACCTCCTTGATTCTTCACAGGGTGGATGTTATGGCTTGAATTGTGTCCCCCCAAAAATGTGTGTCAACTTGGCTAGGCCATGATTCCCAGTATTGTGTGGTTGTCTTCCATTTTGTGATCTGATGTAATTTCCCTGTGTGTTGTAAATCCTAACCTGTACGATGTTAATGAGACAGGACACACTCTACAATTAGGTTGTATCTTGGGTCAATCTTTTTTGAGATATAAAAGAGAGAATGGAGCAGAGAGGAGCAGAAAGAAGAGGGGCCTCATGCCACCGAGAAAGAAATGCTAGAAGCAGAGCATGTCCTTTGGACTTGGAGGTCCCTGTGCTGAGAAGATCCTAGACCAGGGGAAGATTGATGACAAGGACTTTCTCCCAGAACCAACAGAGACAGAAAAACTTTCCCTGGAGCTGCCACCCTGGATTTGAACTTCTAGCCTCCTAAACTGTGAGAGAATACACTTCTGTTTGTTAAAGCCATACACTTGTCGTATTTCTGTTACAGCAGCACTAGATAACTAAGACAGTGGACTACCCAGTATCGTGCCAGGACGGACCCCTGTCTCCGGCTGTCACAGGGAGAAAGGTGATTTTAGAACTAGATATCCAGGTAGACCCTCCCCTTGACTGCATCTCTCCCCTCCTCACCCTCCCCATCCCCTACTATTTCTTTTGGCACTCATCTAGACACATGTACATTGAGTGCCTAATAGGTGCCTAGCCCCAGGCTAGGTACTGGGGAGGCCAAAATGAACAAGGCACATTTTTGGGCCTTGGGGAGCTCATAGTCACATGAAGGAGACCCACCCCTTCTGATTTTCTTTTCCTCCTCCTCACCTGCAGCAAGCTGTAGTGGACAAGGCAAGGGACCTGAAGTCAGAGGGTCTTTAGTTGCTCATCCGCAAAATGATGATAGCACTTACCTCAAGTGGTTGCTGTGAGGATTACATGCTAGCACCCATGTCTTTCGCATAGTAGATACTCAATAAATTTTAGCTAAAATCCATTAAAATCTAGGAGTGAGTCATTAGCCAGACTAAGCCTTCTGGAACTGAGGTGGAATACTCAAAGCCTGGGCATGTCCACCAGCCCAATCTAGAAGAGGCAGGAAGTGATTCAAATGGGAAGAGCAAAAGGGCTTAGAGCTTTTAATTCAGAGAACAGAAAAATGAGAAGATGGAGCTCAGAGTGAGCAAGTTGGGACAGCATTTTCTGTGTGGGTATGGTAGGGAATTGAGAGTCTTCCCTGGGAAGCCTGGGGGTTTAGGGTAGGGGTCTGGAAGGGGACCCCTGAGGGAACTGGAGAACTGTAGTGGTTGGCTTTTGGACCCTCTGGTCAGAACCTCTCTTCCCTCACTCCCTGGATAGTCACTTTCCTGCTGTCCCTGCCCAGAACTAGTTAAACTTGGGCCCAGCAACAGCTAGCCAGTTGCCATGGAGTAGTCCATTCTGACTTATCATGACCCCACGTGTGTCAGAGTAGAACTGTACTCCACAGGGTTTTCAATGGCTGATTTTTTGGAAGTAGATCACCAGGCCTTTCTTCCAAGGCACCTCTGGGTGGACTCAAACCTCCAACTTTCCTTCAGTTAGCAGCCTATCACATTAACCATTTGTACCACCCAGGGACTCCAGCAACACCTAGAGGGTGGTATTTGTAGCTCAGCAAATATTTACTGAGCACTTACTATGTACCAGGCCCTATTCAAAGTGCTGGGCATACAACAATGAAGAAAACAGGCACAAACTCCTACCTTCATGCACATATGCAAGTATATTTGAAGAATAAATTGTTAGAAATGAAATTGCTGGGTCAACAGGCATATGCATTTTATATTTTGATCAATAACCAAAAACCAAACCCACTGCCGTTGAGTTGATTTTAACTCACAGTGACCCTATAGGACAGAGTAGAACTGCCCCGTAGAGTTTCCAAGGAGCGCCTGGTGGATTTGAACTGCCAGCCTTTTGGTTAGCAGCCGAACACTTAACCACTATGCCACCAGGGTTTCCTTTTGATCCATAGGTATTGCCAAATTGACATACGAAGAGTTTGTTATCGGATGCCTTTTCCCCAGGCATCTTTCTAACCAGAGGGATAATTGCCGCACAGTTCATCCCTCCTGACTACAGTCCAATCTTCTCATTAGCCCAAGAAGCTCCTGAGTTGCTGCCCCTCAAGACCAGAAATGGGGTATCATCACAGAAGATATTTTCTTTACCTAGGAAGAGGCAAACCATCCAAAGACTTGTGCTATTTGGGGAGGTTCTTGCCAGGGGGGGAGCCCCATCCGCTTAGGGGTGGAAGACTCTCTAGTGTCTCTCCCCCATTTTAGGACCAAGAGAGAGAGGCTGTAAGGAGTTGCTATTTCAAAAGGATGCAAGAAGGGAAGGGACCAGAAAAGGACATCATCAGTGATCCTTCAGTTCTAGTATGAGCAGCCAGTTCAGCCGCCCTACTTCTGGCTGCAGCTGGGTGGGGGGATGTGGGTCACTTGGGGAAGTTTTTGTCCACAAGAGTGTTGTAACTTTGCTGCAGTGTGAGTATGACCTGGGGTGCTTGGGAGGGGCACAGACATGTCGATTCCCTGCACACTGGGCTGACCCCCTCACCTGCGCTGGTCAGCCAATGATTCTGGCCTCCTCTCTGGAGCTAGACAGCGGTTAAAGTCAGGGGCAGCCCCAGCTGGGAGACTTACAAGAGTGGGGTGGAGGTGGTGGAGGTGGGGAAGCTCCAGAATGTCAGAACCGCAACAACCATATGTCCTGGATTTCCAGGACTGATTTCAAATATTCTGCCCCACAAGTTCACCACCACCTGTCAGACTGCGTGTCCCAGATTTTGGTTTGGAAAATACGACCTACACAGGTAATGAAGAGAGGGGAGGTGGCAGTTCCTTCATTCCAGTGTCTAAGTCTGGGGTTGGGTTGGAGGCAGGAGACTGGCAGAGATGACCACAAGAGGACCCTAGCCTGCTGCTAGAATCTCCGGTTGGATTCTCAGCTCCGCCCCGGTCCGCGCAGGGGTGAGAAGGTGATTGGGCCGGAAGGCGGAGTGACCGGTATTCTCCTAGCCCCACCTGTTCACCCCGGCCTCCGCCTCATTCCACATCGGCAGGTCTCATCTGTTAGCTGCGGCTCTCAGCCTCGCCCAACCAGCTCCGTGGGGAGGGTCCGGGGAGGACAAAGGCGGCATGCCCAAATGGGAAATGCTTCGTCTGCCACGGCCGCTTATAAAAAGCAGGTCTAAGTAACTGAGTGCTCAGTGGTTAAGAGTTTGGTTGCTAACCAAAAGGTCAGCAGTTCGAATCCATCAGCCGCTCCTTGGAAATCTTATGGGGCAGCTCTACTCTGTCCTATTGGGTCGCTATGAGTTGTAATCGACTCGACCGCAACGGGTTTAAGTAACTGGGTTTGGTGTGGCTGATTTCAGGCGGCGAGGATGCGCACGTCATTTTCTCCCATGGGGAGGAAGGAAGGGACTCCGGTCCCGAAAGCTGCGCCGCAGCCAGTTTGGCCAACAACACCCCCCAACCTACTGTCATCATAGTGGAGATCGGCCCAGCCCCTAAGCGATCAGGCCACGGCCCCCAGCCCCTACGTTCTCCTCCCAGCGCAGCCCGGCCCATCTCCTCACCCGAGAGCCCACCCCTGGCCCCGCCCCGGCCCAGCGGATCGCGAGAGGCGGTGCCCGCCAGCAGTCTGGGACGGACGGGCCAGTGGGACTATAAGTCCCAGCAGGCCCTGGGGCCCGCCCCCGGGGGCGGGGCCAGACCGGGCAGCGAATTGGGAGGAGCTCTAGCGCTCAGGCTAGAGGACACGTGTGACCAATCGCCGGGCCTCTCCCTTCGTGAGCCGATGGGGGCGGGGAGAAGCCCGCCTGGGCCGGGACAAAAGCAGGATTCCGGGCGGCTGCCGGAGGTTGGAGTGCTCTAGATAGTGGGTGTTGAGTGGGCCCTTGTGGAGGAGCGCCGCGCACAGAGTTTCCGCAGAGAGGTGAGTGGCGAGCGGCTGTTTTCGCAAGAGGGACCCCCACCAGCCCGGGAGCTTCCTGCTTCCCTCCCCAAACCCGGAACCGCCTTCCCGACGCTGGCTGGGTACTCACGCGCCCTCCCTGCATCAGCTTGGAAGTTTTGGGGGGTTATCGCCCGGGGTCCCGGCCTGTGCGGTGTGTCGACCACCCCTCACTCCCCCAGATTCCAGTTCCTGGGAGTTTGCACAAGGCTTGCTGCCGTCCTTGCTTCTCTTACCTCCGCCAAACTGCGTTTACCCAGTCCTGGAGCCGCTCCCCGCCACCCATGGGTAGTTACTGTGCTTCCTCGGTCTTTATCGGGCCACTTTTGCCCATCCGGGTCTCCCCACCGCATGCCAGGGACGGGAAGTAGAAAAAGCAGTAGTGACTCGCCCCTTCCGACCACTCACCAGCCGGGCAGGCCCTTCCTTTAGTTCTGTGGAGGATCAGTTGAGCTCCACGCCGAAGTGGAGGGAGCAAGCCGGGTGCGCCGGCGGGGCGGGCCACGCGGGGCCGGCTTCCTCAGGGTGCCCGATGCCTTGCCTCGCAGCGAGGACTTGGCTATGGAACGGCAGCTCAAGAAGGACCGTCCTCGCGCTGGAGGTGCCGTGTGGCCCAGCCTCTAAGCGACAGATGGCCTGGGTGCCTGTCTCTCCACCCTGGCGCTGACGCCGAGCCTGGCCCAGGCAAGGTCCTCAAGGGGCCGGAGGATGCTACCGCCGCCCTCCTGTGGGACCTGGCAGAGGGCCAGTCCCTGCGCCTGCTGCCCTCTCCAACCTTGGCAGACACCGTGCAGTTTTAAGGAGTTCTGCCATTAGGTAGTCCCTGGAGTCGGCCTGGGAAGAGGTTTTTGGGGAAGGTGGTGGGGAGGAGTGCATAGGCCAGTTTGGTCTCAGCCAGCCCATCCTTCCTCCCACCCTTTAACTTTGCTCTGTTCCAGCCTGCTCATCTCCTTGGATTTCTGAAATGTTGGGTCGGAGACAGCTGGTAGACCCCAGCTGCTCTGAGAGGGTAATTTCCACGGGGGCAGTGATGGGAAGAGCCTCAGACACTAATCTTAAAATAATTTTTGATCCTCCCAGAAAGAGACCCTAAGTAGCATCCCTAGTACATCCTCTCCACTGACTGTCCCAGGGGTGCCTTCCTGGCCAACAGGTTCCTTTCATTCAGCCTTCCCTGTGGGCTGCTTCTGCTCCCTGTGGTTGCTGTGGGTGAACGCAGTCCTGGGTCACTCACCCTGTCTGCAGAAAAGACCCCATTCAGCTCATAAGGTCTCTCTCCCTGAGAGAGAGAGAGAGAGAGTTTTTTTTTTTTTTTGTGTGGTTGGTGTGGTGGTCTGGTGGTTGTGTTTTGTGTGTGTGTGTGTGTGTGTGTGTGTGTGTCTGTGTGTGTGTCTGTGTGTGTGTGTGTGTGTGTGTGTGTGTGTGTGTTTGGGTTTCCTTGGCATGGTTTCCCCTGAATGGTCTGGAAATTTATCTGTTACCAGGTAACAGTTCCTGGGGTCCAAAAGTGGACCCCTCAGTGTCTTAGCTTTGTCCTGAAGCCATCTATTACTGGCTTTACAGCACGTTCAGCTCCTGGGGAGGCAGCCTAAGACTTTGGTCGCTCCCCAAACCTAGGCTGTGTACACTTTAACTTGGGTCCTGCTGTCACTAGAGCAGATATTCTTAACTGATGGTCTGTGGGGCATCAGATCATGGTCATGGGTGAACACCTTGAAATTGTATGCACGAGTGGGTATGTGTGTATTTTTCTGGACCATACCTTTCTTCATATGCTCAGAAGAGTCTGAGGCCATTGTCCTAGAGAGATTTCCAGACCCCTCTGAACGATTAAGTTGCAGTTTATCTCCACCCAGCCTGTTCTCTGGATTTGTAAGCCAGTTCCTTCTCGCCCTGCTTGGTGAATATGCAGTGGCCAGTTCTCTGTCCCCCTTTTTTATTCTGTCACTTAAATTCTTTGTCTCTACCTGGAGAGGGCTTAAGCCAAAGTGCACTGGTGGCAAATCTGTTGCTTTGGTAAACTGGCAGATCTTTTTGTCTATCCTGTAGCATTTCCCTGTTATATCTTCTCCCCCACCCCCTTCCCAGGAGGTGGGCTTTTGGATCTGAGATTTCATCTGGGGCTTAAGAAAATTGTGATTTTTTTTTTTTCCTCAGCTGCAGAGGGTCCCTTGTCTCCTTTGTCTTTTCCAAAGCTGGGTCTTGTGTCTGTTTTGGGAGGAGCCAGGTTGGGAGTGGCAGACTTCTCTCTTCTGGGGAGGCTCAGCTGAGGGGCTTCCATTCTCCTGGAGTTTGTGATCACGTGTGCTGGAAGTGTCTGCACTGCTAAGGATAGTCAGCGGCTGCCCCCTCCTCTCCTGCCCTGGGCTGCACTCTGTTTGGGAGGGGGGATGCGTGTCCGTCTGATTTCAGGACCAGTTTTTCTGGTCTGAGTCAAGAAGGTTGGGAAATGGAACTGGAGTGGGTGGGTGGGGTAGAGGACTGTGGGGCACCGGGATTGGCTGGGGCGTCTCCTTTGGAAATTCATGTTGAGAAGGAGCCGGAAGTCATCCCAGGGGAAGGCCAGAAAAGGGAATGGCCCCTCTGAGCCCCTTCCCAGCTCCCCTACTTTGGGCCAGACAGTGGGCTGAATGTGCCCATTGTGCTGAGCTGGAGACTAGCTGAGAGGCTGAGGGAGCCATCAAGCCAGGATTAGAATGTGAAGCCCAGCCTGGCCAACTGGGCAGGGGGCAGTACAAAGTGGCCCTTGAACATGGACCTTGCCTGAACTGGGAATGGAGACCCACCTTCTTCTGTGTGTAAACCAGCCCCAGCCTGCTCCTTATCTCCAGTATCTCCACCAGCCTTTCTTAGCACTTGGCATTTTTTTCCCCCGAGCGAATTCAATAGCTTCAATTCTGATCTTTCCTGATCCGACCAAACTTTTGGCATGAATGACTTGGTTTCGCTTCCCATCAGTCCTCTCTCTCTTGTTGCCCCAGCTTGCTCCTGAGGTTACCTTATGGGAGGATGGGTGTATTAGGGCAAGGTGGTGGGGAAGGAAGGTGAAGAAATTGTCATCAAAGGCCCTTCTCTGAGGTGGAGGGAGTACTTGGGCCTGGTTCTTAGATAGAGGGCCTTTTCTCTCTGGGGACGAAGAGTAAGAGGGTTTGGGTTTAAGTCCTGGGTCCTCTGCTTCTTAGTTGGGCTTCTTGGGAAAATTATCTTATGCTCTCTGAGCTTCTGTTCCTCATCTTAGAAATGGGGTTATGAATTTGCATGTGCTTCGCAGGACTTTTATATACATTAGCTCACACACATATATACAGACAAGTTTCTGCATACATATGATCAAGGATGGGTTCTGCCTCCTCCCCTAGTTCTGGCTCAGTTACAAATGACCAGTACAGGGTGAGCCCCAGAAAGGCCTCTGTTTTGCTTAGTGGGTTTTGCTCTAAATTGACAGCTGGATGACTCAGCAGGCGGGTGGGATGTGCTGGAGGTCCCAGTGTCCCCGCCCTGTGTCTGCTCTATATTCCGGGTTGGGAGTCTAGCATCCTGGCAGAAATGAGCTTTGAGATGATTCTTCCCCTTTCCTTCTCCCTACCTCACCAGGGCCTGGGGGCTTGCTTTGGCTTGAGGCTAAGTAAACTTACTGGCCTGGCCCTTGGCCTGGTGGAGTGTGTCATTGTCTGGTGGGGGGGTGGGGGGGGAGATGCAGAGGGAGTAAGGCCAGCATTGTGCAATTCCAGCTGTGCTCCCCACAGGTCAGAGAACTGAAGGGTATGTGTCAGTGTCTTTTTGGGTCCAGCACTTGGATTTGGGATCACAGCAGTAGTATTCCTGGTCTCCCGTGCAGCTGCCTTCTGCTCCAGGACGAATGTGGTCCTAAGTGAGCTAGTTTGCCTAGAGGGAGTAGAGGCAGGGTTGAGGCCAAGAGTCCCAGGGAAAATGCCACCTTTGTTTTTCTCTGCCATCTCTCCACCATCTCCACCCATCATCTCTGTATCCCTCTGTGCTGGTGAAAGTGCTATTTGAGATCTCCCTCCTGTCCTTCCTGCTGGGGCTTCCCTTTTCTTTCCCCTTGAGAAGTGCTGAGATCTGGTTTTATCATTGGGGGGCACCTGGGAGTGGGTCTGCCCTGCTGGGCAAAATGACGCCTCCACTTTCCTGCCGCCTTCTGACTAGCTCTTCTCATCCCAGCAGGTGGAGCAGATCCCTCTGCAGCCATGTCGGCCAAGGCGATTTCAGAGCAAACAGGCAAAGAACTCCTTTACAAGTACATCTGCACCACCTCGGCCATCCAGAACCGGTTCAAGTATGCCCGGGTCACCCCTGACACAGACTGGGCCCGCCTGCTGCAGGACCACCCCTGGCTGCTCAGCCAGGTGAGCCCCACCTTCATTGTGGACCCTTCTTCTAGGACCAGGTTTGGGGCTGAGAAAGTGCTGGGTTTGTTGGAGGTGTCTAAACAGGTTACATGATCATGGACTGCCTGCATCAGTGGGCAGCAGGCAGTGGACCAAGCAGGGTTGTGTGTTCAGCTCCAGACCCTGCCTGTTGAGGAACCATGGCATTGTGTACAGAGTACAGGCTTGGAACAGGACACACTGGAGCCTAAATCTCAGCTTTCTGTGTATTAACCATGTGACCTGGGACATGTCATTCCACCTCGCTTGTTTTTGATTTCCCCATCTGTCAAGTGGGGATAGCACTCACCCTGTGAGCTGTGAGGATTAACAGTAATGTCTGGGAAGTACTTAATGCCGTGCTGCATTTGATGGATGGTCAATAAAAAGTAGGAACATCCCCTGCCCAGCATATCAGGGATGTGTCAGGGTGATCAGGAAGGGTGACTTTGTACTCTGTGAAGACCTCTGTGGGGTCTGCCTGGAGTAGAGGCTCCCATCATCAGACCCCTGCAGGGCCATTGTTGGGAAGCCGTTGACTTCTTTGGCCTGGCCAAAGCAGGGCTAGAACTGATGGTGGCTGGTAGTGGTTTCAGGGATGTGGGTTCCCACCCACTATGAGGCAGCCCAAGTACAAACGGGGCTGTCTCGGGGAAGTAGTGGATTTCCTGGCCCCAGAGGCATATGAACCATGGCTGCTTGTTGGACAGGATTCAAGCACAGAGGAGGTTGATTAGATGACCACTAAGGTCGTTTGTAATCCCCAGGCTCTGTCTCTTTGTTCTGCCTTTTTGGAGAGTAGGCCAGCGTCTGTATTCTGATGCATTTATAATTCAGTGAAGAAGCTAATATACCATGTAGGAAGAGTTAGGGAGTTACTAATTTATTCAGCAGGTATTCACTGAGCACCTACTGTGCCAGGCTCCATCCTGGGCATAGATGGCTCTAGATTACTAGGAGTCAAAGATGTGGGCTGGGATAGGTAAGGGAAGTTTGGCTTTGGAAGCAGGGTGGCTTGGAAACCACCAGGCTGTCCTAGATGCTTTAGGTGCCTAAACTACTACCTCTTACTCTGCCCTCTCCTTTCCTGGTGTAAATACAAATCCCTTTTCCCCCTCTTCCAGAGCTTGGTGGTCAAGCCAGACCAGCTGATCAAACGGCGTGGAAAGCTGGGCCTAGTCGGGGTCAACCTGACTCTGGATGGGGTCAAATCCTGGCTGAAGCCACGGCTGGGACAGGAGACCATGGTGAGTCTGGGTAGAGGGTTGGGGTTGACCTGCCGTAGTAACAGAAGAAAACATGGTCGCTTCCAGATCAGCAACCCTGTGTATCACCCCCACAAACCAGTCAGATTGCAACCTGGGAAAGGTAGAAGTCCTATAGAGCTGACCCACCCAAGTGGCCTTGGGCAGCAGGGCCAGTCTTGGTATTTATTCCCAACTGCCCCATTAGGAAATCCAAATTCCCTTTGTTGTCGACTTGGGCAAGATGTGCTGCAAAAGTAACCCTAATACAGTTGGAGAGCCAGGTTGAAATGATCTGCTGCTTTAATGATCTTGGAGATTCAACTCTGAGCCCTTTCTGGTCACTCTGGGCACTGCTTTATCTCCAATTTCCAAAAAGGGTTTTGGTGGCTTATGATGATATGCATACTTAAGAGAGTAGGTAAAAAAAGATGAGAAAGGGAGATACAGCATTGTTTAGGCAGAGAGACGTTATTGAGCCAAGAACCTAGGATGAGACAGTTAATAATGCTGAAGAATAAATTCAGCTCTTGGCTTCTCCCAGCTTGGTGATTAATTTCAACTATGTAAATGAGAGCGCTAAAGTGAAACCTGGTTTAAGAAGGCTGAGAGCTGCTTGGAAATAAAATTGCATTTCTTCTCCTTCTCCTCACCCCAGAGGGAGCTCCAGAACTGGGGGCAGGGCAGGTGGCTGGGCCTTGGCTTAGCTTGGGGAGGATGTTCCATTCATACCTGGCTTTGCACACATGGTTCTGTAGGGACTGGTGCTGTGCTCTCCCTTGGCTACCTTGGAAGTAGGGATAAAGGTGGCAATGGGGACATCATCCTCCCTAAACGGGCTTCCCCAAGGCAGCCCTGTCTTAGTTACCTAGTGCTACTCCAACACAAATGCCACAAGTGGGTGGCGTTAAAGAACACACATATTTTCTCACAGTTCTGGAGGCTAAAAGTCCAAATTAGGGTCTAGCAGTGTTGAGAGCCCCAGGTGTTCCTTGGTTTCTTGGCGGACCTCACATGGCATCTGTCATCTCCAGTGTGCCTGCTTGCTCTGCATCTATGCTGTTCTTTATATAACTCAGAAGTGATTAGATTTAGGATCCACCCTACACTGCTATGACCTCAACTGATTGATTACATTACGTTACATTATGGAAGGCGATTGCATTATGTTAGATTAGATTGTACCCAAAGGAGTGTTGTTGTTGTCCTTAGTTGCCGTTGAGTTGATTCCCACTCATGACGACCCCACGTGTACAGAGTAGAAATGCTCCATAGGGTTTTCAAGGCTGTGACCTTTTGGAAGCAGATCGCCAGGCCTGTCTTCTGAGGTGCTCTGTGTGGGTTTGTAGTTGAGCTGTAGTGGGCTTATAGTTGAGCACTTAACCAAGGACTCCTACCCAAAAGTATAGGGGTTAGAATTCCAACACATATTTTTTAGGGGGGGACATAGTTCAATCTATAACAAGCCCCTAATGTTAATTTCCTTGTTTCTGAGCCCTGGTGGGTAGAGAAGGATCCTTGAAGTTGCACGTGAGTCTGGGGGCAGAAGGATCCTGACCTTCAAGCTCCCAGGCCTTTGGGGAGAGGAAAGCTGGGTTGTGAGGCTGAGCAATGTCCCCAGGGAAGTCATCCTTCTCCCTTCCCCCAGCAGGCTGTTGGGAGGGGGTGTCGGGGACGTCTGAACTAGCAGCAGTGTCAGGTCGGCAGGAGCAGCTCGTTACCTCTGATGGATCACTGTCTGGTCTCTGACTCAGCAGTGACGCACAGGCTGGGCGGGGGGGTTTGGGTGTATTGGGATGAGGGCTGTCTCACCTCAGCTGCCGCCAGGGACCCACTCAAACTGATTAGCTCTGCAGGCCTGTTGTCCTCAGCCAGGAAAGCCTGGATGGAATAATCTTCCTCATCAAGCTCTGCCTCTCCTCTCCTCCTCCCCACCATGCCCCATGCCTCGGGCTGGGTCACTTCCCCCCCATGCAAAGCAGACAAAGCAGAATGGTTGCCTCCCCAAGTTCTAAGTCCAGTGGTCTCCCTGCCAGAGCTCAGGGTAGCCTTGGCCTGTCTGAGCGCTTTAGTTTATGTACTAGGAAAGGGGAGATGACTCCTGATCTCTATACTTTTGGGGAGGGGGCAACGTTACAGCTCATATGTTACCCTCCAGAAGAGGCAGAAAAGAACATGCAAGATCAGTATGTGTTGGAGTGTGGCGGGCACAAAGGCAGGGCACAAAGACAAAGTCCGCGAGCTTAGGGGCCTGTGACCCCACTGCCCTGCTTTCTGGGAGAATCTGTCTTTGCCAGGTGTTATGGTAGTGCCTGGGCCCTACCTCTGATGGGAGGGCGGGTAGAGGGACAGAGGTTGATCCCTCCTTCTGCCCTGAGCAGTAAGACGTGCTGTCTCTCGGCCTCAGCTCCCTTGATCTCTCTGTAGGTCGGCAAGGCCAAAGGCTTCCTCAAGAACTTCCTGATTGAACCCTTCGTCCCTCACAGTCAGGTATGTGTGGGGTGGCTCCAAGCTTGGTCTCCTGCCTGGAGCTTTGTGTCTGTTGACCTGAAAATGATGAAAGGAAAAATCCAGTCAAAGGGACCCAGGTCTCTGAAGCTGCATGGAGGGCCTGAGGGTGCTACGGAGCAGAGAGTTCAGAGATGAAGGAAAGGGCTTAGTTTGTAGCAGGGAGGAATTAGCGCCGGTAACAGAGGGGACTTACCCAGTGCCAGAATGAGAAGGACCTAAAGTCAGGACCCCTCCTTCGTGTGAGGTCACACTCTGGAGTCTCAGCCCATGGGGTAGTGGCCCTTCTTCTCCTTGTCCCCAAAGGGAAGATGCTGAACAAGTCTCCCCTGGGTGAATGTTTCCTACTGGGTTTAGAGATGAGACCACAGGGGTAGGCTCCTCTCCTGGTGTCAGGCAGCCCCATCTCCCCCAGTTCAGTGCCCCTCACCACGTAATGCTCTCTTCACTCGCAAGGCGGAGGAGTTCTATGTCTGCATCTATGCCACCCGAGATGGGGACTACATCCTGTTCCACCACGAGGGAGGTGTGGATGTGGGCGATGTGGACACCAAAGCCCAGAAACTGCTTGTTGGCGTGGACGAGAAGCTGGATCCTGAGGACTTCAAGAAGCACCTGTTGGTGCACGCCCCTGAGGACAAAAAAGAGTTGAGTAGAGGGACAGCAGGGAGGTGGCACTGGGGAGTGGGGAAGGTGAACGAGGTGCTGGGCACAGACTGGAGAAAGTGGAGTGGTCTTCCCTGTCTGGGTGTTCTGCGTGAGAAGGGCCGTGGGCAGCAGGCGCAACCCATCCCTGTCCAAAGGAGGAGAGCTGGGGCGGAGGGGAGGCTGGCTCCGAATCAGACTGAAACATGCTGTCAGCCACCCTCACCTCTTGCCCCTGTCCGTCTGGAGCCTCCTGCTCCAGCTCTGCTGAGAGCTCCTTTCCACCTCAGTGGCTAAGAACGATGACGTCCAGGGAGCAGGGTTTGCAGAGGAAAGCAAGTGAAGGTGGGGGGAGGGAGGCAGTGTCCGGAAGGAAGTGGAGCTGTCAGTGGCAGTGAGATGACTGTGGGTGCAGGGGGCAGGTGCTGTGCTGCTGAGCCGCTCCCTGATGGATGGACTGTTCTCTCTCCCTCCCTCCCTTTCTCTCCCTTCTAGAATTCTGGCCAGCTTTATCTCTGGCCTCTTCAATTTCTATGAGGACTTGTACTTCACCTACCTCGAGATCAACCCCCTTGGTAACTGGCTCTGTTGGAGGAGGGATGGGACAAGGGTCAGTTATAACCAGTGGCTCTAGTACCTCTGGCCTTGACCTTCTGAGAATTAGACCCTATGGGCTTGATACTGGTCAGAGAGGTGTGTGTGAGAATTAGACTCCATGGGCTTGATACTGGTCAGACGTACGTGTGTGTGTGTGTGTGTGTGTGTGTGTGTG